AAGTCATCCTATTATGTCCCTAGTTCAGGCTGGCTACTAGCATTTTTTCACCTGTTTCAGTAGCACCAATCTCCGGTCCAAGTCATTGGCACCGCTGGAACCAAGTCATGAGGCACGCACACCGGGCAGACATGGCACCGACATGGCGAATGACAGACATGGCAAGGTAAAGAGCTCTATGAGTTGATGGGTTACGAGCCCTTGAAGGAATGGAGATATCCGTCCGGACCGTGAGCAGTCGACGGGTCACGTGGTGGACCGCGAGAGAGACAGACCGCGAGATGCTGGGGACATGGGTGGGGGGAAGGACACGCTGGGAGGCACAGCAAATGGTTTACTGTTTGGTTTTCTTTGCGGGAAAGGGAGAATCAAGATCCAGTTCTGGGTGGAAGGACCGAAAAAGTGACCATGCTTTTCGAGAAGAAGAGTGTGCTTTGGATCATTAGTAGTTCGACCACATGGACCTGCACCGCCCAGGTCGCCTTCAAACAAATCCTAGGCATTGGAAGGCGCAAGGTGTCGCACTCAAAGGGGGATCATGTTGGGAGATGGATTCTTGTCACAGCTTAGCTCACTTAGTCTGATTGGAACCAAGACCAGAAGAGGTAGCAGTGACTCATGAAGATAGAAGTTAGAAGTGTCAAACAACAGGAATTGTATTCTTCCCAGCTGTTTGTAGCTCCTGCAGAGTTGATTCATGCTGCACACTGCGGTTTCCTGAGGCACGTCGAGAGTCTGAGTCTACTGAAGTTTGTTCGGAGACTCTTAGGCATCCGCAGAAGAGGCTGACCCTCAGTGTACATATGGCGGAGAAAAAGCTGCTGAGAGGCTGCCTAGGGCTGTCTGCGTGTGACCCATCCTGGTCTTGTTTGGATCGAAGTTGATACATGGCGGATTTTATTTGATGCGGATTTATGTAGGATCCATTCTTTTCAACTGCCCTAGGGCTTCCAACACCGGACTGGTTTGTCAGTTGGTCCCTTCCCGGCCAGACAGTACACCTCAGCTATGCTCACAAGGCTGCCTGCGGCTGAGGTGGATGCCTCCAAGGCCAAGACCAAGATCCAGATTCGTTTCCACGATGGCACGCGCAAGGCTCAAGAGTTCAACGAGGAGACCCGACCAACCTCAGCCGCGAAGACTCGCCGACCTTCTTCGGGGTCGGACCCGGGCCCGCGGACGGACCAGCGATTCCACTTGAGCATTTTTCTAGCTGACCGGTGGGTGTGGAGGGTGGTGGGTGGCCGGACCCCCCGGATTTTGGGGTGATTGGGTGGCTGGTGCTGATGGGGCGGATCCGTGACAAATGAATCTACTTTGACTAAGAGCCTCCAAGCTTTGATGATGGCCAAAACGGTCACAGAGACCGATCACGGCAAGCTCAAACCAATCAACATGCCTGAATCCACCAAAAACAGCATGATCTAATTCAGAGTGTGTAATTTCCAACTCTTACAGGCTTGGTGAGAGAAAGTTCTCAAAGATTGTCCACCTTTGTCGCTTGCAAAACACATAGAGTTTGTAGCTTGGCCGATGTGGCCGAAAGAGGGTGGACATTGACTGCGGAAGAGGTCGAACAGTCCCATGTCCTTTCTGCCTGGCACCGAAGAAACCCTGGACCCGAATCCTCTGGAGGTGGTCGGGTTTCAAATTTTTGGGGTTTTGAGGGACCAAGGTGACCAAGGGCTGGTTGGAGCGTTTGGAACCAGATTTGCTTGTTTCAGGATCATACCGTGGGAGACTTGCGCGCCTTCTGTGCACAGTGTGTGGGTGGAGAGGCACGGCACGTATTTGCTAGTGACAGCAAATATTTCAGGCATGAAGATAATGCTATTAATTTTATATTCATATAATATTTGAATATATATATATATAGGTTGGAGGCCATCGCGTAGGTTGGAGGCCATCGCTCTTAGATTCCTTTGCTATTAGGTCAGAAAGGATCACTTTGAAAACCATCCGTAAATCAGCCGGAAATTCGTCAGATGGATAGTGGAAACACCACCTAAAGCTGCTCCTGCAATATCAACGAGCTTCTGCTGTAGAGGAGGGCGTGACAACACAAAGCATCTCAGGCCCCATCTATATCAACATGGACTCTGACAGCCAGAAGGCTAAGTACCCATGGAATATTCCCCATCTTCGGGGGTAGTTCAACTGTTTAACAAGGTTCACACCAAGTCAAGGCGAAGCTCCAAGTCAATGCTCAGCTCCCCTGCCAAACTGGGGGTGTCTCATATTTTGCCGCACATACCGAATCAGAGTTGATCCACATGCACAGAATGAAAAGCAGTGAATTAGGAGAGACAAAAGTTCAAAGCCAGGTATGAGGCCCGCAGGATTGTCCGTCGATTGGACTTCCTGAACTTAACTTAGCGCTCCCAAATGGAACAGCTTGGATTATCACTGGGAGTGTCTCATTTTATTTTATATTTTGAAGTGTTGTCTTTCCCTGGTGGAGTCTAGTTCATTGCAGTATAGTGTTTTGTTAATTATGTGTTGGTCCTCTTTTTTGTCTTTGCGCCTCAGCAGCAAATCTAAAGGAAATGCTAGATCCTGTTGAATGACTGATCGCGCCCTTGACTCAATGGTCCCCACATATAAGTACCAGAGAAACTCATCGTCCGGATATCCACGGACACCACGCACATCGTCCAACATGCACGAATCTGGTTTGAGAGGCGATGACCATCATGGGAGGATTCCCACCCAAGGCGGCTTTTGGGCCCGTAGCGCCCGTTCTGGTGTGACAGAGACGAGAAGGGCTGAGAAGGGCTGTGACAGAGTGGGAGAGTCTTGTGTGAGTTTCTGATCCAGAGGTGGCGAGTTTTTGGCTTAGTTTGCAGCGTCTTAGACGTGCGCCAATCTGGCTGAAACGTCCGGAATGCTGAACAGTCTGGTCGTTCTCTTTGGATCGATTGGGACAATGTGACATTCTAGGCACCAAGATCACAAAGCGCATATCAACTGTCCGAATACGTCCCAATAAGGCATGGTAAGTGCCAGAGGTTACACGTTGGGGGGAAATAAAGGCCGTCCAAAGATGTAGAAAGAGCTATCACATTCCACTCAATGAGAGGCCAAACTTACTCCCCTTGAAGCACCTGTTTTCTTTCTCATGTCCCCGATGGCATGCCATGCTTGTCCTTCACGCTTTTGCGACGACCAAAGTCGCTCTTGTCTCAGCCCATCACCGACGACAGCCTTACCTTGAAAGATGCTGGATTGCTGAATGCGGCTGCGGGCGCCTTAGTTCCGAAAGGAAGGCGTTCCATCCTGAGGTGGTGATGACATCACAGGTAGCTTCGGATTGATTAGGTCAAGCTGCACCGAGGAATGATGGGGGGCACTGTCCAACACTTCTTCCCAGCTACTCAATCGCTACTAGTAACAAGGGCATCGCTATTAGTAATGCCCTGGTTACTAGTAGCGATGCCCTTGTTACTAGTAGCTTCGCAGTATTCACAGCACATGACGCTGTTGGCCCGAGGTGACTGTGAAGCCAGCATGAGTCGCTCTTCGGCCATAATCGGTCGGTCGTTTTGGAGGGGGGCCCAAGCAGACTGCTGCGAACTGAACAGAGGCAGCATGGCAAAAGAGCCGTGAAAGGTGTATGGACCGTGTGGGTCCAGAGTCCAAAACTGCAGGGCAACCACTGAGTTAGATATAGTTACGATGTCGTGGACTCATTCCTTGCTTTGTTGCTCGCATGCTGGCTGACACAATGGAAGATTTGGAGATCTATTCCAAATTTGGGTAAAGCATGGTAAATATAGACTCCGAGGTATCACTCTTCCAGTGGCTTCATATACGCGATTCCGTCCGCTCTCCAGACCTGGTTCAAAGGGCAACGTGAAAATGTTCCTTTGAGCTCTTCAAGTCCTTGACATTCTGAAGGGTTTGGATGAGAAGCAGTTTCATCGGTTTTCTCCTTGAAAGATGTTTTTGCACCTTCCTGCTGTTTGCGCCATTCAAATCTCATGAACACGCTTGAGGGGTGCAGGCTGCTAGCACCGCACCCAATGTGAGGGTTGGTGTGGGTTATCTTCTTGAGCAACTTTTCTTGCAATAGATCCATTTGCTGAGTGAGCTTCTCTTGATGATGACCTGCACCCTGAAAGTCTTGGGAAAATCGGTGTGAGTGCTTGCTCTTCTAGAATCTACTTCTGGGATTCTAGACTTCGATTTCACCCCAACCCGTTGACAAACGATTCGCTTGAACACCGCCGTGGCTCAAGCATGGCAGAGAATCCGACAATGCAGCCCAAACCATGCATGGCGGCATGGTGCTGGTGAGTTGCCATGGCTTCGATTTAAGCAGACAAGTTGATTTTGACACACCGACCTGGCTTCTAAACAACCTATCCACCTTCAGCATAGACATCAGCTGAATATGTGTGTAATCAGTGTAATCTATGTGTCTATGTGTCTGTCTCATGTCTACTGCAGGGGTCAGCCGTGAGGAAGTACACTTTCAACAGTACTATCAGACCTTTGGGTGGGTCATTGACCCAAAGCCTGAAGGAGGTCAGGGTCTTCTGGGCGGTTGGGCTTAGGGAATGGATGGGGCTTTCAACATACAGGTGGTGGGGGTATATAGCAATTTGTACATACTATAGGTGGTTTTTCAACATACTATAGGTGGTTTTGCTATGCTTAAAGAAAATGAATTCAGAGACATTGTCTTGTTGGTTTCTACTGAGCAGGTACTGAGCAGATGTTGTTGGTGTCGCTTATGTTCAGACCTACTGTAAGTGCCGGTTTCTACTGGTCCTGGTACTGCTTCAACAGCTTGCCGGTCTTTTCATTTTTGTTCCACTTCTGCATGAATTTCAGGCTCAGTTCCCCACGCCTTCACGAGCAGATGGTCGCTCCGTCAGCAACTCGCAGACATCACTTCGTAGAGGGTTGGTCATCCCTCAGACGTTCGCTGCAACAGTTCGTCCCATGTGAAAGCATCAGCCACCGGCGAGTCCGGGTGTGGAACCACCACGTCCGCGTTCACGCGTCGTGCGCCGTGCGCGTTCACGGCTCATCTCCAGGCGCCATGGTGATCCCCATGCAGATGTCGGGCCCCAGAGCAGCGGACTGATGCGGACTGGCGTAAGCATACTTTGCTGGGAACATTAAGCAATGTATAGGCAACAAACACCAGAAGCACCAAGAAACACTAAAAACCCAAAGAAGCACGCAGAAGGATTAATTAGGCAGGATTGCCAGGACCTCATTTCTGTTCGCTTCGCCTCTTAAAAGGACCACGTTTTCACTCGTTTTCCATCGTTTTCCGTTGGCCTCTCGTTCTTCTTTGGAAGCAGCTGCACCCGCACCGGGTGGACGACCGGACGACCGGACGACCTGCGAGGCCGGCGGTGTCGGCGCACTTCCCCGCGCCCACGGAAGGTGCCGGGAGCTGAGGCGGACGCTAAAGACGGAGGCCTCCTCGAGTGACGGAAGAGCAACGCCACCATCCGACAGGTTGGGAAAAGAAACCCTTGTAAACAGAGGTTCCAAATCCGCAGAGCTGGTGTCTTCTGAGAGAAGATGGGGAGAGAGTAGAATTTAGAAGTGAGGTCAGTGGTTTGGGTTGGGAATGGGCTCACGAAAGAAACGCTTGAATTTCTTTGTCGTTCGCTGCCAAGTGGCGCGCTTTTGAGGAAAAGGATTCCTGAGGGGCTCAACTGCCAGATTTGATGTGTTTGGTTCAAGCCGTTGGGGAAATCTTTGGACAGATGAATCTCCAAGGCCGGGTGGCTTCAGCCTGGGAAACGGTAAGGGGGTCATCCACAACCGGTTCCATGTGTTTGCCTCCGCCGCATATCACCAGTCATACAGACCATCCATGCCCCTTCCAAAGGCAACATTGGCTGACAACGCGAAACCAAGACATGTGTTCTACAGGAAACAACACATTCCGCATTGAATAGGCAAGTTATCATATATTATCATACTACCAAAACTCGGCTAGAACCATCCATACGGAGGGAAAACACGGGCAAGGCCATGTGCCGAACTTATTGGTCTAAACTACTCCGTCCAAACCAAGGCAGTGAAGCGAATGAAGTTTTCCATCCTCGCCACTGGACGTCCGACGTTTGGGGCGTGGGAACGTGACCGAACCTCGCGCGATGAGGAAACGGGCAGCATACGAGTTACCATTGAGGAAGTGCTTAGGGAAGGGGGTTCAAGGCATGTGGACGTCACGTAGAAGCACAAGAAGGCGATAGATCAAAGCAGACCAATGGCGGTCTTGTGCATTCCGCCCCAATTCGAGGTCATGTTGTAACAGGCCCCTTCAGTTGGAGCCAGCAACCCCAGCAAAACATGGTATGAATTAGATATAACGGTAAACTAGTACTGTCTACCACTGAATGAAGCATGGTTCTAGATCTTTGCATCTGGACCCTGGCAAAAACCTTGAAGATGCCCTCAATGATAGATGAGCATTCCCTGCTTGCAGAGTAGCCAGCAAGAAGTTGGCAAACGGCGAACAATGCAACTTCACAGAGGATGGCAACAGCTTCTCCCTGTACAATAGCGTGCACTGGGACCATGTTCACCAAGGCTTAAAAAATATATCAGAGTCTTCTTTACGCTGACATGCCGACGTAGGGATGAAATGGAGACTGGCAGACACCTTGATAGCGATCAATGTTTTTTTTGGCTCTGGTCATATCAAGAAAGTTTAAATGTTCAATTTCGATCAGGGGCAGGCACTCTCTGCTCAACAGACAGAAAATGTCCCACGACCGACTCCCATCAAAGTGAATTTGTTCAACTAAGAGGTCCGCTAAAGCTGCCCTTTACTTGGTGTAGCACTGAGGGCATTGGAGGCAGCATGGTTGGCCGGCTGCTCTGCGCCATCGTGCAGGGCTTCATCGGGTTGCTTGGCTGAGCCAGAAAAGGAGGGATGGGCCATCAATGAACATGCACGAAATCTGTGGCATTAAGGTGTTGGAATTTCTTCCAGTAGGCAAAGGTTCCAAAGACATCCACAAAAAGCAAGATACATTCTTAGGTTTGCTGATGCCACTGCAACCATGTGACTCTGCGATCTACATGGGTCATCTCAGGGAATCTGGTGTGGAGTTCCTTTGTTTGAGATTTTCCATAATTAATAAATCTGTTTTCCCTATATCTCGTTTACATACATTTACACGGTCATTTCTTCCGTTTGTTTCATTTCTTCCGGTCCATTCAGGTCCGCTGAAGCAACTCTGAGGCAAGACATCTTCGGGATTCTCTACATGTTTGTGAGCTTCACATGCGGTGTTTTCATGTTCAAGGCCGGCGTTCACGAAAGGAACAGCCGAAACTCAGCGGTGGTTCGGGGTGGTGAGGAGTCGGTGGGAAGTGAGGAGGATGGACCTTAGAATCCTCATTCTCAGAAGGGAGGGTATTTGGAAGCTCCATGAGTCAACCCTCATGCAGGTCCGGTGACGGCTGCAGACCGAATGGGGGCAGTTTGATTTTCAGTTTGTGGGCAATCTCCGCAAACAGTAACGGCTCCTGCATAGATTTCAGGACAGGTAGCTTGATGAAACAACCTTGAATCCCAGGGAGGACAACATCCATGAATGCTCTAGGCATCTCTAGGCATGAACAGGAACTAAAACTATACTAGAACACATTCAAACAAAGACCATAGAATCTGGAGTCACTGCAGTCCCTTGACATTTAGGTGACTCTTTGACTGTTTGACTGACCACAGGGTCTCTATATACGAGCTATGACTGTAGGGTCTCTTTACGACGAAATCGACCATGTCTTGAAGAGTCGGAGCTGCTCGTGCGGAGCACCTCGCCGTGGACCAGGAAGATGAGCGCTTCGCTAAAGTCTACCAGGCACCCGCACGAACCCGCAGGTCTGTCGCAGCGTCAGGTTCTCTGCCGCAGGTTGGGGAGAGTTGTAAAACCAATCATGCTACCAATCCTTTTGGTATAGGTTCATTCTTGCATCACTACTGAGATCATTCTCCCAGCACATAGCAATACACTGTCAACAAAGACTGGTGGACTTCCTCCATAAAGTGACTTCATTGCTCAACAATCTCAACCTTGTGTCCCAGACGCTCCATATATCTAACCACCCAGTCATGTCATGTACGTCATATTTGCCTAGATGGCGGTGTTTGGGCAGGGCTCATCATGTATCTATGCCATCAGAACAGAGACTCCTCACCTGGTGTGCCCTGCCCAAACCCAAAGGCCGGACCCGTCCCCCGCCGCGTGCTCGGCCTGCTCCGTCCGAATCAGTGCCTGGCCTCCAGCATCTGCCAGACCTGTGCCGAACGAGGTGCGAGAAGGGATGCTATGTGACCCGAGAAGGGTTCGGTGGTGTGAACGAGGTCCGTTGACCGCCGCGAAGGACGCGGGGAAACCGTTCCTCCTCGTAGTGAGTCTGGTAGGAAACCCCGTGGGTTTCGCGGCAAAGATGGTGAAGTTGTGTTGGGTCCCAGTCCCTTTGGCGCCAGGCTTGGGCGGCACGGCGTGTTTGGTGCCGTTCATGGCCTTTTCCATCAGCTGGGAAGCTTAGCGGATGAAGAGGAAACGCTTGAACAGTGTTCTGATATAGAGAGACTGTGCGGGATTCTTGATGAAAGTTGAAGTAAACGTTCACACTTGAGGGTTGATGTGATCAACTTGGGCCAGGAAAACCGCTTCACACTCACACTCATACCATTTTTGGTTGTTCCTTCCAATTACAATGTCCAATGGTGTGTTGAACACCATGAAATTGTCGAACCTCAATCGACCTGCTCTGTTTATTTTTATTTTTGTGTGTGTGAGTCATGTTGTTTGCATGATCTCAGATCACTTGATCAGTGAGCATTTCGGTGGGTACAGGAGGATATTGTACTGTATTTATAAGGATAAGCCAAACCTTGGATCTTTGCAGATGGGGAGCACAGGGCGGTCCACTCGCGTGCCAGGGACAGACAGCCTCTGAAGGGTTTGGGGGGCTTTCAGTTTGGGCATCTGAAGAATGAACCGATGGGTCGAACTCGACACTTGTTTGGGGGATTTGTTTCTTTTGTGCGCAAGTTGCACAAGCACCTCATACCTCAGAAAGGGGTCGAAGTATAATTTATAGCTTGTTGATTTAGACAACGATACAACCTCCAGTTGTTGTATGCATTTCTTATTTTTTCTTTTGCCAGCACTGTGCTCAGTCAACGTGGTCACCGACCTCATCATGCGGATGGCCGCAGCACCTTGGCGAACAGGTCTTCTGGAGTCGTTCTGGTTCCACGCAAAATACATCGATCGAAAGACCATGAATGGTTTTCGCCCCCAAGGAATTACGAGCTTATGAAAGCTTATGATCTCAGGGACTTCTTTGATTCTCTCGTGGGCTTCTTATGCTTGACTTCAAAACCATGGGTTTCCTGTAACTGTTAGATTTCCCTAAACATCCCAAAACCAATTTGAGGATTGTGGAATGGACGTCCTTTTTGAGGAATCAACCGACTCCACTCCTCAAGATCCACACGAGTTCGGCTTCGTCCGTGTCGCCGCAACGTCTGGTCTTGGCTTCGTCTTTTCTGTCGCACCGAGTCTCGGCGAAGTCCGTGTCCGTCCACCGTGTCGAGACCATCGGGTTTGCGAAGATCCAGTGGTAGACTCGTAGACAGCGCTTCTGAAGAGACGAACTTTTGGATGTGTTGGACCTACTGGGAATCACCATATCTACAGCAGGCCGCAGTACGCCAAACCAAGCTCCGGAAAACTCATGCGGGGTCGGCATTGGACAGTTCCATTTCATCAGCTTGGAAAGTGCAGCAAAGAACATCAGGAGACTTCTTTTTTCAGTGAAAGAGCATCCCTCACAGTCACCTAGTCACCTTCCCACCTTCCGCGGCAGTTGGCGTATTTTCCCTATGGACTCTTCGTTCTGGCCAGCTGGGTCACACAGGGCGCAGGGGCCCCGAGACCGGAATCCAGGCCGAGGTCGTCGCCCCGTGAGGATGGATGATCCTCACGAGTTGGGAAGAAAGGAACACTGGAACAAGATTCAGGCCTAGGGATTCCCTAAGAAATCCTAAGAATACATCAGAATATAAAAGAATACCATTCAAGCTAGGGATGGGATCTAATATATCCTTAATAAAACGCATGGTCAGATGGTGGAACTTGGAGCTAAAGTTTGGTGGAAACTACATCTCAGTATGGAGCTACTTGGAGCTCAGGAAATGTGTTCTTTGGAGTTCTTCTCGTCCGACAGCTGTGAGAAGAACATGAAGAAGATTCTTTTCTTTGTGGGATAAACCACCCAAGTCGGACGTGTCGGGCCGATAAGGACATGCGAGGTTTTTCAGGGTGGTTCCAGAGGTCAGCAGGTCAGCCGATTTGAACCAGTACGGGTTACCCTATCCCTGTATACATTTGTTGTTCTTGATGGATATTGATGGTGATGGCATGTTGGTGGTGTCGCTTCCCCCCAATTTCATCCAATTTCTATTTGCTTTCAGGAAGCCCGTTTCACAGCTCCTCCAGTCTGGCTCTTGCTGAGGCTGGAGCCTACTTTGCCTGGACAGCGTCACCTGGTCGATGGTTTCGATCGCCGACTGCGTCCGAGTCAGAAGACTTTCACTGGAGCATCCCGTGGCGCTTTGGAACGCGGCGCTTTGGAACACGGTCCTTACATCATCTGATGTTGACCTACCAGGATACCTTGGGGCTCCAAGTTTTGATCTATCAATCTTCTTTTTGTGACATCAATGAATCATTCATCCGTAGTGTGGACTGGCCAAGCTCCGTTTGAAGCATCTACAGCAGTGGCCCAATGGTTTCATGATGAGCACTGATCCAGTCCCAAAACATCCTGCTGCCACCAAAGGCTTCCTGTTGGATTGACTCCAGAGTCCATAAGATCTCAAACCTTTCTTCGGCGATTCTTCGCAGAAAAGGTCAAGATCCGACGCCTTGATCCGCCTAACTAGCAAACTGACACCCAAAAATATCACATGAGGCATGAGGTAAAGTATTTAATGTGGGTCTCGCTGCGATCGGGCCTCAGCCAAGGGCTTTATGGCCTTGCTGTTTCAGAATTTCACTTGCAACCTACCAACAAAGCCAGGTGCCACCCCCTGCCCTGTGTACGTCTCACTCTGCAATGCTTTGGCATCTTTTGGCTTGAACTTGAGCTCTTTGAAGGCCTCTCCTGTGCAGCTCTCTTTGTTCCAAAGC